ATCGTGCATTACAAGTTACGACGACCAGGTAATATTAATCAGAAGTGACGTGAAATTTACGAAGAAGAGAGAAGAAAGTATTTACGCCACTCAAGTTAAAGAAAATAATATCTATAATATCCTAACCACTTAGGCCCGCTTTATTCCCACCTAATACTAAAAGAAAGACAGATTGATTGGACAAATGCCAATTGCAATTTAAAACGTGATATTTGAATGCTGCCACTAAATAAATAAGGCACCCTAACATATTCATATGACAAGTACCGGTCGTAATCTAACTAATATCTGAATAGTGCCACTAAATAAGTATTATCTCCGTTGTATTTGATGTTGCGAAATTTAAATATAGTCACTGAATTTAAGAAATTTTTTTAAACCCCTCCAGTCTCACCTCGAGCTGGGTAAACCCCTCTTCCATCATCCACATCTCATCAGCATCGAGATCAGAACACGCCTCGTAGCCATCCTCGGCAATGTCTTTACCCCTCACATCGGCTGACGAAGGAGTACCGGTAGTCAGAGGCGGATCCAAGATTTAAAGTATATGGGTTCCTGTCATATTCCCAAATTAATATACAATAATAACTGGGTTCACAATTAGATATTTATAAATATTTAGTGGATTTTTAATAGAAATATAGGGTCTACGCAAAAGCTACTGGGTTCCCGGGAAACCGGTAGCTGCACTCTAGATCCGCCACTGTCGGTAGCCGGCCGCGAAGTCGACGGTGCGTTCTGCCGCAAATTCTCAGAAGCCTCAGCGGCCGCTACATCGGCTCCTACTGCCACAGAGGAAAGAGGCACGCCCTCAACGGCCCCTGCCGATATCGGAACGTCAAACGCCAACTCGGCATCATCCTCAAGTATTATGGTCGCCGTCTCGCGGATAACAAAGTCATCCATTGCTATCTACTGCCCGGGCGACCCCATCGCCAACGTCTACCAACCTTCTCTTGCGGGGCATCAAATTTTCATCGCTTGGCGACGGTTCCTTCTCCTCGTCAGTGAGACAGTATAAAGGGGAAGTCGGAAGCCCCGCTGACAAAATATTTGCAGGCGGAGAAAAAGCCGATGCTGAGTCAGCTACAAACGGGATCGAAGCCTAAACAGACCTGGCCGTAGTCGAGTAGGGAACGAAACGGAAGAGTGAGCAGGCCCAATCTCGATTGTAGAAGTAATAGACGCCGAAGTGGAGGCAGCTTTCCTCTTACAGAATGAAGGAGGGGGAGATTTTGGCCCCTTCGAAGGTCCTCGGTCTGAAAAAGGAAGAACCAAAAAGGTTAATTATCGGCGAATGCAAACTAAAAGAAATAGGCGACCAAGAGGCCAACAAACTAAAGAAAACAAACTAACTCACCGGTTAGGGAAGGAGCAGGGCCGAACTTCTTAAAAAAGCCCAGCCATTTACGAATTCCGGCAATATGAGGAAGAATCCAGACAACCCAATCGGAGATATCTCCGACCAAAGAGGGGGCACAATCCTCGCTACATAAGAGAGGAGCAAAAGATCAGAACACTAATTTGAGCAAATACATCAAAATGCCTCGAGATAAATTACACTTACGAGTGTGGTTCCAAGTTTCGGGGAAACCATCCATATTAGCCACCACGTCTTCGGTTCTAACGAAGAAAAAATTATGCCAGAAGTGACGATTTGCCTTGTCGTCCATCTTTACTACCATGTACTTACTCCCACGATGCCGAAGGTGCAACATCGCCCCCTAAAGAAACTAGGGGCGAAGAGATGCATCAGATGTCGAACCATGATCTCGACCCCGACCAATTCTGCGAACTTTGTAAGCACCCGATGAGCTTGTAGATGTACGGTGAAAGCTGAGTCGGGCAAACGTCATAGAAGCAGAAAAACTCTTCATCCAGTGGGAAAAGAGGAAGAGTGTAACTAACATAGAAAAGGTAGGCATAGAAGGCGTAGTACCCGGGGCAGTGGACAGAGACACCCCCCGCATTAAGAGGGAAAATCGTCGCCGGAAGGATCGGGTAGTTTTCCTCGTTAGGACCAGAAGGCACTTTAGCCAAAGTTCCTCAAAAGAAAGGATATCCGAAGCGATTAAAGATTAAAAACAACTAGAATGAAGGAGAGTAAAAGCAACTGAAACCTGCGGAACCAGTAAAGGAGACAAACAATGGGGGAAGAAGGAGATGCAGGGATTCGATACAAATAATGCGTAAAGTATGAATGAATACCCCTACACCACTATATATACGAACTCAAGCATCACAACCGAGAAATCAGGCCATCATTACCCAATACTGGTACCGAAATGACAAATACACAGGAAACAATGCAAAGCATGCATCGGACAAATGCGCCATAATGACGCATAATGTTATGACATCATTCTGATGGAGGAGCGATGTGACTCCGAAAGTTGTGGCTCACGAAAGGTCATGTCATCATCTCGTCTGAAACGCCACTACTCTACTTGCTCGTCTAATTTTGCCAACCACAACAATTAGAATCCGCTCATCAAGGTCGTTTGAGGCCGACCTTAATAAGCGGAGGGACTAACTGTATAGGTCGGAATCTGTCTCAATACTTGGGGCAGAGTAACATCGAGAAAAGAGTCAACCGAGGTCAACTAGGAAATAGTGAGGCTAGTGGTCGACATGTTAAGGATGGCAGCGGTCGAGCAACGTAGAAAGAGTTGTAACAACTAGTTTATTAGAATATGATATTAAAGAGAACATTCCATTGCATATTCTCTGCACTTGTACTATTAGAGTTTATTGGGGGTATATCCCATATAAATAGGGAAAAAATAGAGGGACTAGAGGCATGTAACATTCATTTTGATAAGAATGGATCTCTAAAAAAGATTCTCTCTAGGAAAGATACGAACACTACTTTTTATCAAGATTCTTGCATATTATTCCAACTTTTCCATCAAATCCGAGAAGATTTCTGATGTTCTGGGATTTATCTATCACTCATCACTATCAGGAGGAACAATCATCTAGTTTCATCCTTTATTGGGTGAACCACTTTCTCCTATTTACTTAAATGTCATTTATTGTTATTTATTGCTAGTTATCTCTCCATTATTGCGCATACCTTTAGGAATATCTAATGAATGCTATTGCCAACTCCCCACTAAATTTGTCTAACGTTAATAGTCTTTTTGAAACTCTCATCTAGAAATATTACTCCCCCCGATCCCAAATAAGTGATTTTTGGATGTTTTCACACAGATTAAGAAATTTATCTTTTAGCATTAATTAACAATGAAATTGACCATATTAACCTTTACTACTCACATAAACACTCCTAACACATATTCTAACACTATTTACTCCAAGGACAATGTAGGAAAAAAATAATTAATTAATTCTTGAAATTTGAAAAAAATCACTTATTTTGGACCATAAAAAAAAGATCAAAAAATCACTTATTTTGGACCGGATGGAGTATTATTAACTAGGCACTCCATCATTATACAATATAATCGTTTTAATCGAAAGTTAACACTTTTTTATCAAACAGTAACGTATTTCCTGAGGATAACTATCTAATAATGATGAAAGGGACTGGATTTAATGATAATAATTCATTTAATTCCTTTTCCACAACAAGTGGCCGTTCTAATTTCCAGTCCAAGGCATTGATCGAAGGAATGCGGCTGGCCTCTTGAAATCATCACAATAGGCGAAACAAGATTTAAATTTTATGGGTTCAAGATTTTATCTCTTTTAAGTTATTATGTTCTAGAATAATAATTTGTACATATTTTATGAATTTTACAAGATAAATATAAAGTCTTGCAAAAAAGTTATTGAATTCGAACAGAGGAGCTAGATATTGATCAAAGGGATAATTCACAAGTGGTTCATTTAATTCGCAGTCTGCACAATAATTCATTTAATTCCTTTTCCTTAACAAGTGGTTCTAACTTCCAAGTCCAAGATACTGATTCATCCAACAAGGCCGCCGCTGCCCTCTTGAAACCATCAAAACAGTCTTTTCAACAGTAAATTAAGTTTATTGGGTCCAATTATAGTTACACTTATTATAGTTTATTAGGTTACCAATATTTATATGTAATTACCTTATTATAATTTGATAATGTACATAATATTTCTTATAGAGAAGTGATTTGATTCTTTGTATTTTTTCCTTTCTATATAATATTTGAATTTTATTTATTAAAATTGTTCAAGTTTTGTATATTACTCGGTCTAAACAAGTTTTTCTTACAATTTATAAACAATCTATTATCAGTGCCTTAAATTGAGGGAGTCAGTTACACCTTTTCTCTTTTTTCTCTTCTCTCCTCTTTCATAACTTTGTACTAATTTCCATATCAAAATTCAACCAAATTGTTCCAATCAAACCCCATATTCTGATATCTAAACAACATTTAATCTAATTACCCAATAGAAAAAGCATATTCCCAGTTACGTAATGCACGTATTTACGATGCTTTACTAGAATGTAGGATTAGATTGCACAAAAAAAATATAAACTAATATAAGAGAGATGTGATGATAAAAGATTTTTAACCATATTAATTACCAGAGAGTGGTGATGTGCAGTTAATATGTATATACAATATAAAACCTATACAATAATCTGGGTGAAATGTATAAGTAATTTTCTGTATTTACATACTGTATTTCTATAAGAATAGCTACTTTTGATGGAGGAAAGAGAAAGAGAGAGAAAAGGTTTGTGTAATGTGGTATGTCCATCTTTACGATACATCTACAACAATATACTATAAATTAAAATAAATTTCAAACAAGTAATTATACAATATAAAATTTATTTACAACTTATCTTCATCATTCACACATCATGCTTACCCAGATAAATACAACTACAATATCATACAACTTAAATATAATTTTCATACAAATTTTATATAATATGTCTTTTGCCTGTATTTTGTATATGATTTGTGGATATTTTATAAGTAGTGTGTTCTTCTTCCTCTCTGAAATTCCAATCAAAACTTCTTCTCTTAAAATATACTTTGTATATGATATTTATTGGTATTCTAAAGCTTTATAAATAGTAAGGGAATCATGTTCAGTCTGGGTAACCTAAAGACAACTTTCTTAATTCACTTTTTAAGTTTTTAAGCCAAGTTACAAAGCCTAAGTCACACTACTTTGCATTTGGCAGAGAGCAGCCGGTAACTAAAAGGTATGTTCCTATTTTACTTCATCAAGCTCAATTCATGTTCAGTCTGCAGGGAGAATATGTTCTAACATCAAAAAATGTGAATAATCCCCTTGTAGTAGTAAGTTAATGGATCTAATCGGGGATCCATCCTGACACTAAAAACTTATTCGTATCATGTGTTTACACCAAAGCAATAAATACATGATATATATTTTTACAAATATAGTTATTTCTCATCTTAATTTATCTCTTAACTATAGTAACTTGTATAGTTTGGTGTAAACACTAGCATGATAGACCATAAGTTTGCCTTTTGAGTTCATTAATATCACACTAACAGTCTAACACCTATATTGATCAATTTTTAGTTCTTTTCCTTTTACTCCTTTAAAGAAGCAGAAAAAATGGATGGATTTGCTGGTGAGGCTGAGGTTACACGGCGCTGTGGCAATCACCATCCTACTGTTTGGGGAGACCATTTTCTTGCCTATTCTCATCTCTCGGTAAATTTGTATTTTAAGAACCTCGTTTTTTTTGTTTGCATATTCTTCTTGTTTTTAACACACTAATAGCTATGCCTTTGTTCATTTATTTTCAGTTGAAGCAATTCTATTGATCCATCTTTTGGTAAATATTAGCAGTGTGCGACCATCTCATTTAAAATTTAAACTATTAAAGAGAGCACATTTTTATTTATTTAATTGTGTCTTAACATGCCCACTCACATGCAAATTTGATTCTTTTTTATGTCCAAGCACATGAAAATTCTTTTTCGATAATGAGTGTCAGTGGGATACCATATCAAAGTTTGTAACCAGGGGCGGATTTATAGCCCAAATCATGAGACACGTGAACCCATGGTCTTATCGTCAAATAGTGTATTTGTGTTCGTATTTTTTAGAATTAATCTAATATATTTGTTGGCACCGATGCTCAAAAAAGATTGAATGGTGCACTTAATTGAATTTTGGATTATTTACCCTCAAAAATATGGATTGATTCCCACTTAATATTTTTTTCTACTTTTTTTAGTGGTGCACCTATGTTCAAGAAATTCTATATCCACCTCTATAATTGTAATCATCTCATTCAAAAGTTTAAACTGTTAGAGGGATCACTTTTATTTACTTAATTGTGTCTCAATAATAAATAATTTAGAGCGCAAAGATATATAAAAAAGAAGAAGTTATATTTATTTACTCGCACAGGGAGCCAATGAATGGGAAAAGAAACAGCATGAGCACCTAAAGGAAGAAGTGAGAAAAATGCTAGTGATGGCTCCTTCCAAATCGTTGCAAAATCTGGATCTGATAAACGCAATCCAATGTCTTGGAGTAGCGTACCATTTTGAACATGAGATTGAGGAGTCACTGGCCTTTATCTATAGCTGTTATGACCAATTGAATGGTGAAGCTGATGAAACTGACCTTCATACTGTTGCTCTGCGGTTTCGATTACTTAGGCAACACGGTTATTATGTCTCATCTGGTATGCAAATAATTGCAATTGTTACTCAAGCTAATTTGTTTGCCGATAAGAGTTTAATTAACTTTGATGCACTGACCCTATAAAATATGATGAAGCAGATGTTTTTAGGAAATTCACTGACGACCAAGGAAATTACAAGAAAGCATTGGTTGGCGACGTGCAAGGATTGTTGAGCCTGTATGAGGCAACACAATTCAGAGTACACAGTGAAGAAATACTAGGCGAAGCAGTTAATTTCACCACCACTCATTTGAAGCTATTATTGCCTACATTGAGTAATTCATTCGCGATGAAAATCAGCAATGCACTAAAATATCCAATCAACTGTACTATGGTGACAGCAGCAACGAGGAAATACATATCGTTTTACCAAGAAGATAAAGCACATGATGATGTGTTGCTAAATTTGGCAAAATTGGACTATAACATATTGCAGAAGATGTATAAAACTGAGCTATGTGATATCACAAGGTAATTTGCAGGATAGATAATCACTAATTAACATCATACCACTGAATTATTTTTTTAAAAAAAATACATCAATTTTCAAATCCAACTTTAAATTTTTTAGGTGGTGGAAGGAATTGGACTTCACGAAAGCATTACCTTTTACAAGAGACAGAGTAGTTGAGTTGTACTTCTGGTCTTTGAGTGTGTACTTTGAGCCCCAGTATAAGGTGGGGAGGAACATACTAACCAAAGTGTTATGCTTCATTTCTATTGCTGATGATATCTATGGTACATATGGAACAATAGACGAACTCACTCTCCTAACAAATGCAATAGAAAGGTATTTTTTTTCTTTTTGTAACATTAACTGGTTAACTTTTTTTTTTACCTTGTAGTAATGTGTACACTAAATAACAAATTTCATTAACAATCTTACCTATACATGGACGTAGGTGGAACATTGACGACATTTCAGAAAAGTTACCATCATATATGAAGCTTTATTACCTAGCTCTTCTAGATGTTTACAGTGAAATTGAGAAAGAATTGGCAAAGGAAAACAAGTCATTTCAACTCAATTATTCAATAGCTGAGGTAAACTAATTTTTAGTTACCATCATATATGAATATACCCTTTTTCAATTAAGTTTGTCCAAAGTGGACATCCAATCCCACGTGACAGATATTTAATGAGGTATAGATGCCACATGGATTTTCACCTTAGTGCCCCTAACCTATTTTACCCACATGGGGCGATGAGGTGGCAATCCATGTTGCATCCACCTCATCAAATATCAGTGTCACATAAGATTGGATGTCCATTTTGGCCAAAGAATTATATTTGAACCAATAGTACTATAACGACAGGGATATAAATGGACTCAAACTATAATGAATGGTACATTTAAACCTTTTCTGATAGTACAAGGGTATATTTGGCCCTTTCCCGAAATTTCTGTGACAACTCGTGAGTCTATGCTCTTGATTATTTTCTTTCAGATGAAAAAGCTAATAAAGGCATATTTTCAAGAGGCCAAATGGTATCATGGGAATAACGTCCCAACTATGGAGCAGTATGTGAAAAATGGAATTCGATCTAGCACTATCCCATGTCTTGTGACTCTCTCTTGGTTAGGCATTGGAAATGAAGCAACGAAGGAGGCACACGACTGGCTTGCAAGTGAACCTCCAATTCTGGTTGCTTCCTCTATCATCGCTAGATTATCGAATGATATTGTATCACATGAGGTCAGTGGCGTACGCATAATTTTGTATAAGTGGTATCATATTTAAAAGAGTAAACAAATAAATTTGAAACGAGGTCGCAAAAAATTTTTTTTTAGATCATATCAATCATTTTTAAAGTTGCTAAGAGACTGTAAAACTTAAAAGAACAAAAATGTGTTGGTTGTGGCTTGAAACCTAGGACCATACTCGAGAATTGTAGCATCTAAACCAGCGGACCAAGCAACACAAATTTACCAAGTGGTGTCATTCTATTTTATTTATAATCATTTGTTATTTTTTGCATATCATTTATATGTGTATTTAATAAAATTTTCTGTCGAAGCGGTGTCACGATTACACCGCTTAGCCTAAAGTAAATTCGCACCTGCATGAGGTATACTATACTTAGGAACTAAGTTTTGTCGTTTTTTAGTTCAACTCTGAATATTAATATATAGTTGATCAAGGCTTTAGGAGGCAAATACAAAATTTAATTTTGTGGGTTCAAACTCAGGTTTCAATTGCTGAACCATCACCTTATTTGAGTTATGGGTTCATACTTCAATATTTTCAGCAATTCTAATGATTTTTTCACAAATAAGTTTAGACTAAAATTACGGGTTTAAATGAACCCACACCTACAATTGTTTATACCATTTTTGTCTAATGCCTTTCGCTCTTATGGATATGCAGAGAGAGCAAGAAGGAGGAGATATATCAGGTGTCGTATGTTACATGAATGAATATGGCGTCACAAAGGAAGAAGCATACATGGAGATTAGGAAAATAATGGATAATAGTTGGAAGGATTTGAATCGAGAATGCCTAAAACCTATCGTTATACCGAGGGTTTTACTCATGCCAGTGCTCAACCTTGCTAGGATGTCGGAGTTCTCATACAAAGATGAAGATTCTTATACTTTTTCCAAAAACAACTTGAAAGACATCATCTCTGAGGTGCTAGTTGATCCCATTACAATGTGAAAACTTGAACATTAAAGCTAAAAACATAAAGCAAATGGAATTAAAAAAAACAAATATTGCAATTCTCTAGAATATTTATATTTATATTTTTATTTTATTTCGGTTGAAAGAAGAATACTATGATATATATTTACTATGTGTGATTATATTTGTAATAAAAGAAGTTCCTAATATATCTGCCTCAACTGCTTCAATGGCAAATAGAGGAGGAACTTCAAAGTGAGCAAAAAGGTTGAGTAGCTGCTTCCAGCTCCAGGGGGAAAAAACAGGAGAATGCTTAAAGTTGGGATAAGCTGAATGTATTGGAATTAATATCATTTGGTTTCGTGTAATTTGTTTAGTTGGTGGAGTTGAACTCTTTTTTATACATACATCTTATCAATTTTGGACTTTGTACTGTTTTACTAATTTTTATGCTTTTAGTTTTTTTTTTTTGTGGGTGGGGAGTNAGAGACCAAATTATTCGCGTCACTCATGTTAAAGAAAATATCTCTAATATTCTAACCACTTAGGGGCCGTGCTATTCCCACCTAAAATAAAGGTAAATTGACAGGACAAGTACCAATTGCAATTTAAAAAAAGAGTAGCGTATAAAAATATTAAACAAAATAATATGCTAATAAAAATTTATATTAGCAATGTAATAATATTAAAAATTGGATGGCATAATAAAGAAAAATACAGAACAAAAAAAGTTATTCGATGTGATGACCAGATTGGTCATCTAGAGTCTAAAATCTTAATTTTGTATTTCGAAACCTCAAATATTTTATTTTTAGTCTTCCTCGATTTGCACCACGGTATGTTCTTTTTCCAGAAGGCTTTTATGTGAAAAATTGATAAAAAATATGAATTTGTGCCTTAAAAGTCCATTTGAATTGACTTTGGCCAACGTTTGGAGCAAACAGACCCGGATCCATGATTTGACGGTCTCGGTGGATCCGTATCGTAATTTGGAACCTGGACGTATGCCCGAAATCGAATTCGGAGGTCCCCAACTCGAGTTATAGCATTTTGTCAAAAATTTGACGTTTAAAGGTTTAATGAATTTAAAAATTTGATCAAGGTTTAACTTTATTGCTACCGGGACCGAATTTTGGTTCCGGAGCTTGGTATAGGTTTATTACATCGCATTTGCGAAGAACAGGTCAGCATTTGCGAGGGCATCAGGGTTCACATTTGCGACCGATTTTTCGCAATTGCGATTACTGGGATCCTGAGAGGAGTTCGCAATTGCGACCTCTTTCCGCAATTGCGATGTTCGCAATTGCGACATGTGCAGCTGAGTAAAAACTGAGTTAGACGGGGTTTTTCTCATTTTTTCAAATTTTTAAACCTAGAAACCTTAGAGGCGATTTTTTCCAAGAGCTCGTCTTCCCCAATTTGTTGGTAAGTGCTTCTAACCTACTTTTTTTAAATCACCCATTTCATTTCTTAATTTACTTCCTTCTTTGACCTTGATATCCATGCTTAGACTAGTTTATTATTAAATTGATCGTTCTTTCCGTATTTTTGGGTTATTTGTGATAATTGAGAATTGTTTTTGAAGTTGAGGTTGGTATTGTGGAACTGTTGTTGACGTAAGGTTTATTCTTGCTTATTCTATCTCCCAATTGTTATATGTTCATTGTTACATGGTAAGGGAGAGTATTAAAGCACGAAGGGTAATGTCGTGTCGATCGTTATTGCAATTATTGATTAATACATAGTGAGGAAGAGAGTTAAAGCACGAAGGGTGATGTCGTGCCGTATTTATTGTTTCAAAATGAAACTGAGAGTAAAAGCACGAAGGGTAATGTCGTATCGTATTTATCATTTTATGGAGAGATTGAGAGTAAAAGCACAAAGGGTGATGCCGTACCATTATTACTGTTTCATGGTGAGGTTGAGAGTAAAAGCACAAAGGGTGATGCCGTACCATTATTACTGTTTCATGGTGAGGTTGAGAGTAAAAGCACGAAGGTTGATGCAGTGCAGATTTTTTCGTTATATTTATCCATTTCACTGGTTGAAGGTTTATTAACTGTTTCATGTTGTCATTTCCTGTTGTGGTTACCGTATATTATACCCCCTTTCGCATGTGTCACGACCCTAAACCCAACCCGGTCATGATAGCGCCTCTCATGAAGACAAGGCCAACCGACTCACTTCCAATTCAGTTTAAGCAATTAAAGTAATAACTACTAAGTCTTTAATCAGAAATAAAATTCCAAAATAAGCATTTAACAGTATAATTTGCGGAGATAAAAGCCAACACAGCACGACATCGGGGTGTCACCAGTTATGAGCATCTAAAATAATACTACCAGTCGGAAAGTTTACTCTACTACTAAATAACTAAATCAGAAAAATAAATAAGATAGAGGGAGGTTGCATTGGGCTGCGAATCGCCAAACAACTACCTAGTAAACCTCTGAAGATCTGCTGGAACTGTCAACCCTCAGTATCAGGACCTGTAGCACCCGAATCTGCACACAAAGGTGCAGGGAGTAAAGTGAGTACTTCCAACTCAGTGAGTAATAAGAATAAATGAATACTGAACGATATAAAATCACGTTAAACACAACATTTAGCTATTAGAGGCATAACAAAATCAGTAACACAATTTAACAATGAAATCTCATAAAAACACCTTTTTAAGCAGTCAACAAGAGATAGGAAAAATAACTAGGAATGATAAACACATAAGAACTGCCCCTCGGGCACAATAACATCAAACCAGCCCCTTGGGTAATATCACAGAACAATACCAACCCCTCAGGCTATATCTCATGTCACAATGGGTACCCGCGCTCACTGGGAGTGTGCAGACTCCTAGAGGGGGCCCTTACGACCCAAGCGCAATATCAAGCCATCTCGTGGCATCATAAATAGGTTCTCGCACTCATATCAATATCAAGCCACCTCGTGGCGTACAATCTCAGGCCCTCGACCTCATATCATAATTAGTGTACCACTGCTGCGGTGTGTAGCCCGATCCAAAAGTATCCTCACAATACAGGCCCTCGGCCTTACTCAGTCAGAATCTCATAAGCCCTTCGGGCAATAGTAAAAATATGCAGCTTAGCTCAAAATATCTTTAAAACATCATTTAAGGTTTCTAAAACAGATTAACATAGCTGAGTTTTGAAAACATTGAAAGATCTGGCATGATTGAGCACAAGTATGAAATCAAATAGTGAGGAAAATATCACTAACGATCCCCTAAGGGTTCAAACAGTTGGCACGAAGCCCGAATATGACATTTAGCCCAAAGTATAATAATATCAAATAATTAGCTACCAAATATATAGATAAATAGTCATTCGGGATGGACTAAGTCACAATCCCCAATGGTGCACGACCCCACACTCGTCATCTAGCGTGTGCATCACCTCAACACAGCCGAACGGTGTATAATCCGGAGTTTCATACCCTCAGAACAACATTTAAAATCATTACTCACCTCGAACTAGCCCAAAAAGCTACTCTGCAACACTCTTGCCTTTCGAACCAACTTCTGAGTGCTCCAAATCTACCAAGTTCAGATTTTTATCATCAAATTATGCTAAACGAATGAATTTCAATTGAAAAATATCGATTTTAAGCATAAAAACCGACCCCCGGGCCTGTATATTGGAATTGGACAAACTTTATGCCAAAATGTTCTTCATTATTTCACGAGTCCGTACATATAAAGAACTCAAAAATCGGAGTTCGTTTGGCCACTCAAATCATCCTTAGAAGGTCTCATAATCTCAAGCCCAAACTCCATCTTTTTCTACTGATTTTCATGAATTAAACACTGATATTTTGTTCCTTAATCACAAATAATCGTGTATTAGGGTCTAAAATCCTTACCTTAATGAATAACAGTGATTTCCTCTCTTCAAAATTGCCTCAAAGCTCTTTTCCTTTTAAAAATGGTGTAAAAGGGTTTAATGGTCGCGGAGGGTTTATTTAAATACTACTCACGCGTTTACTGTTCACCCGAGTTACTGTTCACCCGAGTTACTGTTCATGCTGCTGCAAAAAAATGCAGCAGCTTTTCTTCTAGTCTAAATTGATCTGTTAACCTTTCGAGATCCACCCAAGGCCCTCGGAAATCTCAACAAATATACCAACACGTCCCATAACATCATTTGAACTTAGTCGAGCCTTCGAAACACAAAAAACAACATCAAAACACCAAAATCACATCAAATTCAAGCCTATGAACTTTGAAATTCCTAAATTCCACCAAGGACGCCGAAACTATCCAAAATAACCTCGATTGACCTGAAATTTTGCAAACATATCCAAAATGACATTACGAACCTGATCCAATTGTCAGAATTCCATTCCGATCCTGATAGCCTATTTTTCACTGTCGACCGGAAATTGCCAAAAACTAACTTTTGCCAATTCAAGCCTAATTCTACACCGGATATCACAAAAATATTCCGGACACACTTCTAAGTCCCAAATCACCTAGCAAAGCTATCTGAGCCATAAAATCCGCATTTCGAGGTCGTTTACCAATAAGTCAACTCTTGGTTGACTTTTCTAACTATAAAGCTACTTTTAGAGACTAAGTGTCTCAAACCTTACCAAAATCATTTCGGATTCGATCCGACCAACCCGATACCACATAATACGGATAAACAAAGCATAAAGAAGCAGAAATGGGGAAAAACGGAGCAGTAACTCATGAGATGACTGGCCTGGTCGTCACTTCCTCCCTAACTTAAACAAACGTTCGTCCTCGAAGGTGCCCAGAGTTGTTCCAAAAGCAAACCAATCGCTGAATAACCTTACCATGCACATACCCGGGGTTGATCCCATATCACCCTATCTCATATAGGTCCGATAACACAATGCAACTAAAATTTCACAATCCAACCTAGCCCATAAACCTTAGAACCACATTCTCACTTCTGAAATCATCCACAAGATCAGAATCTCATACCTATACTCTGAATAAGCCCGAACAAGTTGTAATAACCCATACCTGCAACCTCAGGTGCAATTACATGATATACCACATAACTCAACGCTTGTAGCGATAATTTCTAATCACAGCAGCTGCACACAACGATCGAATACTGGTGGAAAACCCCTTATCAACCAAAGTCTCATTCCAACACTTTCACATACTGCCAATAACAAATGAAACACGCAGTAAGCCATAACTATTTCTTAGATCAACCATTCATGAAGCCACTTCTCATTTGGTAAAGACCATAGCAATTTCTGAGCCGAACCTCGACATTATCCTTCCAAAGTGTTGAAACCAAATCCGTTTGTATACATCAAAGACCACAACGATCTCATCTAATCCGACACGACTACTCTGGTGACATGACACATCAATACAGGCTAAAGCCGCAACTTATGCAATCCGCACACCAATTAGCAAAAACCCGAACATAC